CCAAGCGCATAAGTAATCTGCAAACAATGAGCATATGATATGTACTGCCATAAATAAAATGATTATAATGATACATACCTTAATAAAATATGGCTCAACTTAGCGGGAGTTAAGAATAAAATTAGTGCTTCGTGCTGATAACGTGTTATAAAATAAAAGCAATGCAGTAAAATGTAAACAAGAAGAGATAGAGAGAATGGAGAAGTGTTTTCTTCTTTCACTTTAGTGTAATTTTTCATTGCAATTACATGACCTTTTATAGGCATAAAAAGTAAAGATGATGGACATAAAATAGTAAATTTAATCTTTAAGTTATTCACAACATGGGCATCCAATGTAGTATCCAAAGTAGTATCCAATGTACAAACTATTCATAACAGCAAACAAATTATATTTGGTGGTTATACTACGTAGATTTCCCTAATTATACGTTCCATTATTGTCTTACAAGGCAAATTATTTTTAAGTATTGAAATAAAATGAGTTGAATAGGTAAAAATTGCACGGACGCCCTATCTGGTCGCCCCCATTTATCACTTTTTAAAAATGTTTTAACATGTACACACTTTTTAAACAACTTTAGGCCTCTTGACAATGATTTTGTATAGTGGTTAATATATTTTAATGTAGTTTATGATGTTTTACAATGGTAAGTTGTTATGACGCTTTATTTTTTACTATTGGTTAAGGTTTCTTCTTATTTTTCTTAATTGCAAAATGGGTTCACCAGATTTATTGTTGTTTTGACAAATTGATGATTGGGGTTTATTCCTGATGATATTTGGAGGTTATGTTTCAAATTTGAGCTCATTTGGAGTAGATTTAGGTATTAAATCGTATATTGGATTGTTATAATTCGAAGAACAAATTTCTATTTCTGGACAATTTTTCACTTCAGACTTATTGGCCTTAAGTGAATGAAAACATTTATTGCACTTCAGACTTATTGGCCTTAAGTGTAGCAAAACGCTTGTTGTACTTCAGACCTTTTAGCCTTAAGTGCATCTGAAGTGCAATTTTTCACTTCAGACTTATTGGCCTTAAGTGCATGAAACTATTGGTTACACTTCAGACCTATTTGGCATTAAGTGCATCTGAAGTGCAAATTTTCACTTCAGGATTGTTGGCCTTAAGTGTATCTGAAGTCCAATTTTTCACTTCAAACTTATTAGCCTTAAGTGCATGAAACCATTGGTTGCACTTCAGACCTATTTAGCCTTAAGTGCATGAAACCATTGGTTGCACTTCAGACCTATTTAGCCTTAAGTGCATTTGAAGTGCAATTTTTTTCACTTCAGACATTTTTTTTAGCTTCACACCAAATAAGTCTAAGTTAATTGTAAAGTGGGTACGCTTGCAAACTTTTTGCAAAGTAGGTATAGATTCAACGGTGATCAAAAGCCCCGTTAAATAAAGCGGAATGAGTCCAAGAAGACAAATTACGGGTCCCAAGTTGTCTGCATAAGAAAAGAACTAATAATAACTGCGAAATAATGGTGGCAAAAAAATAATTATCCATATTATATACTAAAAATGGATTGGATAATAATATTTTTAAAAACGGATCAAATATGGATAAGAACCATATTATCGATTTAGAAAATGGATAACCAATGAGTTTAACTTTTACATTTGTAAAACCTCAAATTGGGGAATCCTCAAGTTTGGGAGACTAAGAATTCTCCCAAAAGTGATCATATTCAAGAAACCATGCATAATATGAAAACATATATTATCTGCTTCGTTTTTTATCCGTATTAAATGTGCATCAGGTCGGATAATTTATCCGTTTTTCATTACCCATTTTCAACCAGTCCATATCCGACCCCACCCGACCGTTTGCCACCCCTACTGCCAAATGATAGTTGTTCAAGCAAAAAGTTTAAGCAATTAAAATGACTGAGAACATTCAAACTTGTTCAATATATTATAAGCGAGAAGAAATAGTAGTGAGGAAAAAAAAGGATTAGTGGTACTTTATATCTTTATTATCTTGTCGAGATTGTTTCTTTCAAAATGCAAATAAGCTCAGATAAAGTTAAGGAAGCATAACAAAGCAAGTTTAGCGGAAAATTATCCCAATGTGTCAAATTGAAATCATTTGCAACAAGCTAGAAATATAGGTATTGGGAAATTGTTTGTAGCAATTTGAACAATATTTGGGTTATAATTTGAGGAGTAATCATATGCGGGTTCTTTCGGGTGGGAAAAAGCCTTCTTAATAGGAACTTCCTATGCATTAGCAGATTCACTTCAAGAAAGAATGATGCAAATCGTGCCATTTTTTGAATTAGATATGCGTTAACCGAATATCAACAGTTCTAGCATCTTGTGTTCCACCTTAGCACATAGCAGTGAAACAACCCACAACTTGCCATTTTTCATTAAATTGTTTAGACATAATTCCATGCTGTAAGAGAACACTCCGAATCTGCCAAGGTAAAGTCAGCATTAATCAGTTTCAACTTTTCACACGGAAAACAGGGAATCACATGGTCCAACAAAATAGAATGCCATCTAACAAGGCCTTTGTTATGGGAAGCAATATAGCAAAAGAATCAGAATACTATGCAAAAGATACAATATTACGAGGCATAGTTTTGTCATATCCTACCAAGCACACGCCTTTTCACTCACTGGCCACAGCCAATGAAGTTAGATACTTTATACAGTTATTATTCGGACGCAATACGATAGATCAAACATTAAGCAAAGAAGAAGCTTAGTTTGAAAAAGTGCAAATTTCCTACAAGCAAACCACTAGGTAAAATTTTGAGTTACCCCATACGAATTAGGCAGAAACACTAGGAAGAAACCTAAGCAGAACATTTGATTTCCTAAACATTTTGCTACCTCTTATAATGTGGGTACATGAAGCTTTAACACATATCAAGTTTCAGATAACTTCTTCAAAAGTTATGACTTTTCATACCCTACAGCAACCTGGAAGAAGTGTCCCAAATCTCAGTCAGATATCATCTATTTCAAGGGTTTGTACGCTTCATTAGAGCTCCCGAGTCATGTTGAAAGTTCACCTTTACAAAGGGACCACATGACATGCACTTCAAATCAAATTTATGTTAATATCTGTAGAAATCTGTCCGTACTGTCAAAGGCTACTCGAAACGATATATTTCGAAGATTTCAGAGTTAATGCTTGATCACTAGCATAAAATACTTTTATCTCCAGCACAAAATGGTTTATGCAAAAATATATTTCTTACAATTATCTAAAATCAGTAGTATTTCATAGTATCCGCTAGCATAAAAACATACCCTGCATAACATAAAAGATTGGCTATAGTTGCTACTGTCCATTCCAAGACGTTTTTGTCTTACACTCATGCACACCAAATCAGAGGACCCTTCCTACCGTGAGTAAATTGAATAGCCAACTGGTTTCATAAAGATCCCAATCTACTCCAAGTACCTATAACTATCAAGCCATTCTGTGTTGCATTTGAGATTTCTGATACATACCAGCTTCTAAATATCTAGTGCAGAAAAACAGTTCAGTCAACCATACTTGTCAGGCATGACATATGCTCCACGAATACCTGCTAACCTTGCTGAAGTCTAGAAAATGTCTAGTTCAATCTCCTGGTTATGCAAAAGATCTGATACTATGGACCATATAATAGGTGGCAGCGCACTGCTTTGTCTTTATGGCAAGAGATACTCTGGTTAGTACTTTTGAGTACAGTGCATGCCAAACATACTTATCCGGCCTTTGACTAAGATCACAAGTAATGTCAACTGCTGTACGTATTTGCTGAAAAAATGAGAAAAAGGAAAAAACACATTTCAATTTGTAGAGAAATTGTTTGATTCTCTAAATTCATTCACTAAACAAAGATTATCCAAAAAATAAAGATCCCATATTGTCAAACTTTAACTTATTAAACTTGGCTTAGAATTATTAAAGAACCTACATGAGCTTCTTCTCAGTAAGGAATGATGATTTTTCTATTTGCATTAAATTCCAAGAATGAAGTTGATGACACTACTTCAAATTAAAACCATTGGTTCAAAATGGTAAGAGGAAACAAGAGTAATTTTGGCAGCTAGAGAAGATCTTTTGAATAATGATAAATGAGAGGAGAGGTGATGCAATCAAAGAACACACGATACCAATCAATGACAACATAAAGACGAAAGTCAAAGTGAAGATATGACTATATTGCAAATCAATGATACGAGCCCATAGCAAAGGATCCAAGCTCCTAATTAGCATAAACATTTTAAACATGAAATGCTAAACAACTGTACCTTAAAAGGTTAAATTATTGTACTTCTCGTCCTACTGATCCAAAATCTTCAGGAGGCCATACCTAATCGCAATAGCAGAACTTTTAGTATTCTATAACACAACAATATTAAAGAAAGAATGCTGCACATACTAGTACTTGAAAAATGGAGAAATGATTACAAAGTTAGTATTTTCTATAACATTCCTACTTTACTAATTCAATACGAGTCTCCAGAAAGAGTTAACGACATATGTGTTGGCTTATTGATTCAATTCTGAAACACTAAACATATCAGATGAATTTTACAAGTATCAACTAGTCTACAAGAACCTGAAGTATTCAACAGCTTCATAAGCTTTGGTCTGTTAATACATACTATATGATACAGTTAGCCCAAACTAACCAAACTGTAGCTAACAGTACCAATAAATATAGTAGAAGCAGTATTTAACACAGCAAATATGATGACTAGCATGAAAGGTACCTTCGAAAGTTTTTTAGAAGAAATTAAGTAAAAGCCTTTTCTAAATATAATCAAGTCATAGCAATTTAGCAATTAAAGCTAAGAAAATTTAAATAGAGAAGAATCACTGACAATCCAAAAGACTCTGCCCTGTACAAGTCCATAAGGAACAGGTCCAAATTTCCTTGAATCAGTGGTATTAAACTTGTTATCCCCTTCAATCCAAACATGTCCATCTGGTACCTGTTCACATTCAACCTAGGTTTAAAAAAAAGAAACCCCAATTACATGCACAAGGGAAAAGGCAGTTGTAAATTAAGTTTTTCGATCAATTATTACCACAATAGTATGTTCTTTGTCATTATTCCCAGGACCCGCAATATATTTAACAGTATCACCACCCATACCCATGAGTCTCTTGATCACAATCTTTCTCGGGTTTTCGGGGCTCCGCACTAGCACCACATCGCCCCGTTGCATTTTCTCAAACCGAGTCGAAAGCCTTTCGGCCAAAACGAGATCTCCAGTCAGATTAAACGTTGGAAGCATGCTTGGACCTTGAGTCTGTCCAAAAAAGAAAAGAAGATTTCAAATTGCTGTTCAATTGGCCCAAAACATGAAGTAGTAAACAAAAAAAATACTGCTTATGGTAAAGTACGAGAGCGAAGGTGCAGAGGTAGGTGTTGGTGACATGAAGACCACAGAGGAACTTGGCCACGAGTAGTGTTTGTTGAAATGCTTCTTTGACAAAAGGTGTCAATTGCTTCAGATTTCCCAGACCCATTTTCCCCTGATTTCTGTTCCACTGAGGTTCAAGAAAGGTTTTAAAGAGAAACACAACGACTGAGTAAATAAGAGTTGGGCATTGTGTTATTTAAGCAAATGTCACATATCTCTCTCAAATGCTACAAATGAGTTCGGACGCCTAGGCAAGGGGATTGAACTCTGCTAAACACATGCCAATTACCAAAAGACGATGTTAATATCCCTAGACTAAATAAGAGAGGTGCAAAAATTGAATGTGGCAACTGAATTGAAACAAATACAGAAAGGGAATGAGGAAATGGGAAAAATCATAGATTTGTTATAAAATAAAGACAATAAAGTAAAGACAAGTATAGAGAGAAACTGATGTATTATTCGAATTCAAACTAATGTACATAATGAATTGAAATCCCTTCTATTTATAGAAGAAAGGAAGCTGCTGATCTTCTACTGAGAGTAATGTTTATCTATAACGGAGTACTGAAAGGATAAGCTATTGTACCAGGTATTAATAATCTTTTACTGGGGATAATGTTTATCTATAACGGAGTACTGAAAGAATAAGCTCATTGTACCCGGTATGGATAATCTTCTACCGGGGGTAATGTTTATCCATAATGGAGTATCGAAAGAATAAGCTATAATCTTCTACCGGGAGTAATGTTTATCCATAACGGAGTATCGAAAGGATAAGCTTATTATACCCGGTATGGATAATCTTCTATCGGGAATAATATTTATCCATGACCGGGTATCGAAGTGATAAGCTTCTTCAGGAGGCTTATTTCCAATAGAGTACTAAATAGATAAACATATTTACGGCGAAGTCCCATATGAATAAGCTTCTTCAGGAGGCTTATTTCCAATAGAGTACTAAATAGATAAACATATTTACGGCGAAGTCCCATATGAATAAGCTTCTTCAGGAGGCTTATTTCCAATAGAGTACTAAATAGATAAACATATTTACGGCGAAGTCCCATATGAATAAGCTTCTTCAGGAGGCTTATTTCCAATAGAGTACTAAATAGATAAACATATTTACGGCGAAGTCCCATATGAATAAGCTTCTTCAGGAAGCTTATTTACAACAGGGTACTAAATGAACATCCATAATATAATATATTTATAACAAGATTGTTGTTCTCTCGTAATAATAATTCTCTTTTTTTGGGAGAAGGTTTGAATTTGCCTCTATTATGGTATATTATTTACATTTGTCCCTCATTATATTTTTCGTCCATTTCATTCCCTATCGTTAACAAACTCTTCAGATTTGCCCCAAACCCTAATGACCCTACACTGTGGCAGTTGATCCTTCCAATTTATATCCATGTCAGCTGCCATGTCAGATTAAAAAAAAAAAGTTGCCAAGTCAGATGGCAGAGGGAACAAATAAAAGAGAGGAAAAAAGAGGCGACATACTTTTCGCCGGAATCTGGCCAGAGTCGTGTCGAACACCTTCTCGGCATCTGTTTTTTCTTCTCCTCCAACATTTTTCAAGTGAAATACTCTCCCCCAAGAACAAAAAAAAAGGAAGAATAAAGGAGTTGTGGCTGTCTCTGGCTACCGGAATCCGTCAAATCCATCGGAGCAACTCCACACGATCCCATTCCAATTTTTTAGTTGTATTTTTCTAATTCTTTTTATTTTTTATTTTACAAGTATAGACCGCCGATAAACTTTCAAGATCTAAACCTTTTGTGGTAAAACGAAACCATGTTTCATGGATCTAATCTTACTATTGTGTTTCACTATTGTCATTTCTTGTAGTTGTGAATCCCCTCACATTCTATTGAAATTTGATTTTGCCGTTGTTTATTGTCGCCTTTATCATTGCTGATTGTCCGAGATACTAATTTCATACCTCTATTAGCTTTTACATTGACTTTGTTGTTTCATAATATGTTAAGTGTTTATTTAGGCTTTTGTTTCGTCTTGTAGTTGCCCGGAACTTTGTTCCATTTCTTAAATTACTCCATCGTTGGTTTGACACATCATTTTTCCATATCTTGTGGTTTAGGAAAAAAATACAAATTTTTTGAGGTTTAAAAAAAAGTTAGATCTTTACCCATTATGTGATGAATGACATGGGTCTAACTTGGCAGCTCACATGGACAAAAATTGGATGGTTCAGCTGCCACTGTTAGAGTTAGGGGCAAATCTGAAGAATTTGTTAACGGTAGAGACTGAAATGGATAAAAAGTATAACGAGGGACAAATATAAATAATATACAATAGTATAGGGACAAATCTGGACCTTATCCTTTTTTTTTTGCTTGTTAATTGATTTTTAGTTAATTCATTCAATATTCCTAAATTTCTAGTTTGGTTGTAGTTTTAAAAGAGATAACCCTATTGGAAATTATCTCTTGTTTGTTCTCCGAAGGATCGATATTTAGAATATTTTTCATTTAAACATATTGCATCTGATAAGTTTGATTAACTTAGTGGGCGTTTGGACATAAGAATTGTAAAATTTCGAAAAAAGGTGAATTTTTTTTCAAATGAAAATGGTATTTAAAAATTAGAATTGTATTTAGATATGAATATAATTTTGGGTTCTTTTTGAATTTTGTGTGTGATTTGAGTGAAAATGTTGAAAAACAGCTTTTGAAGTTTTTAAATTTTTGAAAAATTTTAAAATTCATCTTCAAGTGAAAATTAAATTTTTTATGGCTAAACACTAATTTCAAAAAAAGTGAAAATAAATTCATGGCCAAGCGGGCTCTTAGTTAACAATTTGCGTAATAATTTTGGAGTTAGGGCAGATTTGCGGTCAATTGGTCAAGCCTCATCTTCATGCCTCCGGGCCATTTGCACCAATAGCCACCTTTAAGGTTGTCCTTTAAAACATGATGCCATGATCATAAATTTAAAATTAGTGTAATTTTAACTATTTTAATTAATCGGCCAACTTGTGTTTTTTTGGGTTGTTGTAATAACCGGTGAAATTACTATTAACAATAAAAAATTTACATCTCAAGAGCATTTAGTGTTAGAGTAACCTTCTAGGAAGGGTGCTATAAGTAAAAATTGCACGAGCGCCCTATTTGGCTGCCCCCATTTAACATGTACCCACTTTTTGTTTTAACTTGTACCCATTGTTTAAAAAACTTCACATCTTTTTCTCCTCTTTCCTCTCTTCTTCTTCTTCTTCTTCTTCTTCTTCTTCTTCTTCTTCTTCTTCTTCTTCTTCTTCTTCTTCTTCTTCTTCTTCTTCTTCTTGTAACAATGATTTTATATGGTATTTGGGAACATATTTTAAGGTAGTTTATGATGTTTTACAGTTATGAGTTGTTGTGGCACTTTATTTTTTTACTATTGCTTAGGGTTTCTTCTTTTTCTTTTTCTTAATTGCAAAATGAATTCGTTGATTGAGGTTCGTTCTTGATGATATTTGGAAGTTATGTTTCAAATTTGATCTCATTTGGAGTAGATTTAGATATTAAATTGTACATTGGATTGATAAAATTCGAAGAACAAATTTTTGTTTTTTTGCAATTTGCACTTCAGGCCTATTTAGCCTTAAGCGCATGAAAACGTTGGTTGTATTTCAGACCTTTTAGCCTTAAGTACATCTGAAGTGCAATTTTTCACTTCACACTTATTGGCTTTTAGTGTAGAAAAATATTTATTGCACTTCAAACCTTTTGATCTTAAGTGCATCTAAAGTGCAGTTTATTGTTTTAGACTTCCTAGCCTTTAGTGCAAGAAACCATTTGGTTGCACTTCAGACCTATTTGGCCTTAAGTGCATCTGAAGTGTAATTTTTCACTTCAAACTTATTGGACTTAAGTGTAGGAAAACGTTTGTTGCACTTTTGACCTTTTGTCCTTAAGTGCATCTGAAATAAGGGTGTTTTACCGGACAGGCTAGACTGGGCTGGACATGGGAAAAATAGCCCGTCCGGTTAGTGGTGCAGGCTGGTTAGTGGGTTGGGATTTCGGGGTGATAGTGGGCTGGGATATTCCGGGTTTTGGTGGACTTGTCCGGGTTCAGACTTATCGGGTCCGGACCTGATAAGCCCGAACCGGGCTGGGTTAATTTTATTTTTATTTTTACTGTATTATGTTTCCTTGTTCAATATAATTGTTACTTAAGTGTTTGCAAACTTTTAAATAATAAAATAAGTATTTTACGACATAAAACTAAACTTTAAAGTTTAAAGTTTTAAACTTGAAATTTAAAAATTGAAATTAAGTGTCTACATAAAATTATTTAATAAGATCAATATGTAAATATCAAACTTTAAAGGCTTTCATTTCATATTTTCATTGCATAATAATACTTCAAATTAACTTGTCTTATAAACAAACACATTATGCTTAAATAAGTTTAACAAATACAAAATAACCTAAATTGTGTCAAATCTACTTAAATATGAATTCCTAGAGGACGTACAAGATAACCCTTGATATGCCTCCTTAAATCAGCTATGCTCTCCCACTTTCGATGAACATTAAAGACTCGACCACAATTCTTGCACTCTACTTTGCGAACTTCTTCATTTTCTTTTACCACCTCAAAGTGCTCCCAAATATGTGACGCACTCTAGAAGCACGGAGAATGATTTAACTTGAACCTAACAAAAATTAACCACACTTCACTTGAAAATTGAAATTGTGTAGTGGCTACCATAAATAATTGATAAAACTTGAAATAGTAATTAATTGAGAACTTGAGAGCAAAAAGCAATTCGATAATCAAAAGGGAATTGAGAGAGAATTAGAGTATAAGAAAAGAGTAAGTAGTGAAAAAAATAAAGAAGAGAGAGGCTATTTATAGTTATTAAAAGGCTAAGAATATAATTTATATTTTATTAGGGGGTGGAGGAGCTATTTTAATAAGGAGATAGGTTGAAATGGCTAAAAGTGCAAAAAATGACTATTGCCCAATCGTCATTTTTGATTTTGACTGTTGGTAACTGTTTAAAAAAAAAATTACAACATAAATCGGGTTGGACCAGGCTGAAGGAATTAGCAGGCTAGCCGGGTTCCGGGGCACCGGTAGCCAAAAAAAGCCCGACCCGTCCGGCACAACCCCCCAACCCTAGCCAACCCGTCCCACCCCTTACCGAACCAGGCTGACCCAGGTCGAACCGGATTGTTAGTGGGCCAATCCGGCCCGATTAACACCTTTAATCTAAAGTGCAATTTTTCCTTTGAGACTTATTGGCCTTAAGTGCATGAAACCATTGGTTGCACTTCAGGCCTATTTGGCCTTAAGTGAATTTGAAGTGTAATTTTTTCATTTCAAACTAATTTGTCTTAACTTCA